GATGGATGAGTTTTGGAGAGTGGGAGAAACCAGCTGAGAATGACTTCTGTTTTTGAGCTTGAGTAAATGGAAGAATTGAGATACAGTTCTAAAAGTTGACAAAAGCAGGTTGTGCAGAGACCCACTGCACCAGCTAAAACAGCCGCACTGGGGCTGAGTAAATGGGTGGAGTATCACAGCCTTTTTTTTTTTTTTTTTTTTTTTTTTGTAGAAAAAAATCAGGTTAGGAGAGGTCAACATCAGAGATTCAGTTTCAAACGTATTAAGTTTGAGATGCCTGCAATGCAGGAGAAGAATCAAGAGAGTGGTGCCCTAGAATGCAAGTGAAAAAAGCTTTTCAAGGAGGAGAAAGTGATTAATTATGGAAAGCAATAATGTTGTTAGTCCAAGTAACCAGTGAGAGCATGGAGGGTGAGTGGTTGCTGCATTTCCAGATGGAATTTTATTGCCCACAGACCAGGAGATTCTCAGACAGAAGAGCACCATGGGTTTCCAGCTCAGGTGTTTCAGCCAGTGTGATGGGTCTCTACACAAAAAACTAACAGAGGTCCTGGCGTCATTTCAGCTGGTGACTGGAGCACCTGGGAGACAGAGTTGCCCATTCAACTGATAAAAAGGAGACTGAAACAGGGAGCCAGGCCAGGAGATTCTCAGGCAGAAAAGGGCCTCCAGCACAGCTGCTTCAGCTGGCACAGCAGGTCTCTGCACAAAATTTCACACAAATCTGGGCACCTTTCCAACTGGCGACTGAAACGCCTGGGAGACAGAGTCGTCCAACTGAAAAAAAGGGAAGTGAAACAGGGAGCCAGGCCAGGAAATTCCCAGGTGACAAAGTGCCATGAGCCCCCAGTGCAGCTGTTTCAGCTGGCACAGTGGGTCTCTGCACAAGAACTCACACAAATCCAGATGCCATTTCAAGTGATGACTGGAACACCTGGGAGATAGAGTCACCTGTTTAACTGAAAAAAAAAAAATGGGTCTGAGGCAGGAAGCCAGGTGATCAGACATGGCTGGTCCCACCACCACAAAGACCAGCAATCTGAAACACTCTGGACTGAGAGTTTCACAGCTAGCACAGCTGAACCCGGGATGATCCAGCTCTGCGGGGGAGGGGCATCCACCATTACCGAGGCAGTCCACCACTACCGAGGTAATCCACTATTACAGAGGGGTCTGCCATTGCTGAGGCAGCCCACCATTACCAAGACAGCCCGCCATTGCCAAGGCAGTCCACCATTACAGAGACAATCCACCATTACAGAGGCAGGCCACCATTGCTGAGGCAGTTCTAACTATACCCCTATAAACAGGACTGCAGGAAAGTTCACATGGCAGCTGGGCAGAGCCCACAACAGCTCAGAAATGCCTCTGCTGGCAGACTGTGACTAGGCTGCCTCCTATCTGGGCAGGGCATCCCTGAAAAAGGCAGCAGCATGACAGAAACTAATGAATAAAGCCCTACCTTCCTGGGACAGAGCACCTGAGGAAAAAAAGGCTGTTGTGAGTTCTGCTGCCGCAGACTTAAACATACCTGCCCAGAAGCTCTGAATGCAACAACAGAGCTCACAGCTCAGCACTTGAGCTCCTATAAAGGACAGGCTGTCTCCTCAAACAGCTCCCCAACCCCTGTATATCCAAAGAGTCACCTAGTAAAGGAGAGCTCAGACTGATATCTGGCAGGTATTCTTCTGGGACAAAGATAGCAGAAGAAGAAACTGGCAGCAACCCTTACTGTTCTGCAGCTGCTGCAGGTGAGCCCCAGGCAAGCAGGTTCTGGAGTGGACCTCCAGCAGTCCTGCAGCAGAGGGGCCTGACTGTTAGAAGGAAAACTAAGAAACAGACAGAAATAACTTCATCATCAATAAACAGGACGTCCACTCAGAGACCGCATCTGAAAGTCAACAACTATGAAGACCACAGGTAAATAAATCCACAAAGATGGGAAGAAGCCAACGTGAAAAGGATGAAAACACCAAAAACCCGAACACCTCTCCTCCTCCAAGGGATCACAACACCTCACCAGCAAGGGACCATGGCTGGAAGGAGAATGAGTCTGATGAATTGACAGAAACAGGCTTCAGAAGGTGGGTAATAAGAAACTTCTCTGAGCTAAAAGAAACTGTTCTAACTCAATTCAAAGAAACTAAGAACCTTGAAAAAAGATTTGATGAAATTCTAATGAGAATCAACAGCTTAGACAGGCATATAAATGAATAGACAGAGCTGAAAAACACAACAGGAGAACTTCGCAAAGCATACATAAGTTTCAATAGCTGAACTGACGAAGCAGAAGAAAGGATGTCAGAGGTCAAAGATCAACTCAATGAAATAAAATGAAAAGGAAAGATTGGCGAAAAAGGAGTAAAAGAAAATGAACAAAGCCTCCAACTTCCCCAACCTAACAAAGCAGGCCAATATTCAAGTCCAGGAAATACAAAGAACACCACAAAGATATTCCTCAAAAAGAGCAACCCCAAGGCATATAATCAGCAGATTCACCAGGGTTGAAATGAAGTAGAAAATGCTGAGGGCAACCTGAGAGAAAGGTCAGGTCACCCACAAAGGGAAGCTGATCAGACTCACAGCAGATCTCTCAGCAGAAACCCTACAAGCCGGAAGAGAGTGGGGACCAATATTCGACATCCTTAAAGAAAAGAACTTTAAACCTAGGATTTTATATCCAGCCAAACTAAGTTTCATAAGCGAAGGTGAACTAAAATCCTTTACGAACAAGCAATTACTCAGAGATTTCATCACCATCAGGCTTGCTTTACAAGAGCTCCTGAAAAAAGCACTAAAGATAGAAAGGAACAACCAGTAGCAGCCCCTCCAAAAACGTACCAAATGATAAAGAGCAGCAACACAATGAAGAAACTTCATTAACTAACAGGCAAAACAACCAGCTAGCATCAAAATGGCAGGTTCAAATTCACACATAACAATATTAGCCCTAAATGTAAATGGGCTAAACGTCCCAATCAAAAGACACAGACTGGCAAATTGGATAAAAAGCCAAAACCCATAGGTGTGCTGTATCCAGAAAACCCATCTCACATGCAAGGATACACATAGTCTCAAAATAAAAGGATGGAGAAAGATTTACCAAGCAAGTGGAAAGAAAAAAAAAAAAAAAAAAAAAAAGCCCGAGTTCCAATCCTAGTCTCTGAAGAAATAGACTTTAAACCAACAAAAATCAAAAGAGACAAAGAAGGACATTTCATAACGGTAGAAGGATCAATGCAACAAGAAGAGCTAATGATCCTAAATATATATGCACCCAATATAGGAGCACTCAGATACATAAAGCAAGTTCTTAATGACTTACAAAGAGACTTAGACTCATGCACAATAATAGTGGGAGACTTTAACACTCCACTGTCAATATTAGACAGATCAACAAGACAGAAAATTATCAAGGATATCCAGGACTTGAACTCAGATCTGGACCAAGCAAACCTAATAAACATTTACAGAACTCTCCACCCCAGATCTACAGAATATACATTTTTCTCAGCATCACATCACACCTACTCTAAAACTGAACACGAAATTGGATGTAAATCACTCCTCAGCAAATACAAAAGAATGGAAATCATAACAAACAGTCTCTCAGACCACAGTGCATTCAAGTTAGAACTCAGAATTCAGAAACTAACTCAGAAACGCACAGCTTCATGGAAACTGAAAGATTCGCTCTTGAATGTTGACTGGATAAACAATGAAATAAAGGCAGAAATAAAGATGTTCTTCAAAACCAACGAGAACAAAGACACAACATACCAGAATCTCTGGGACACTTTTAAAGTAGTGTCTAGAGGAAAATATATAGCAATAAATGCCCACATGAGAAGCAAGGAAAGATCTAAAACCGACACCCTATCATCAAAATTGAAAGAGCTAGAGGAGCAAGATAAAAAAAAAAAAAAAAAAAAAAAAAAAAAAAACCTCAAAAGCTAGCAGAAGACAAGAAATAACTAAGATCAGAGCAGAACTGAAGGAGACAGACAAAAAAATCAATAAATCCAGGAGCTGGTTTTTTGAAAGAATCAACAAAATAGTCCACTAGCCAGATTAATAAAATAGAAAAGAGGAAAGAATCAAATAGATGCAATAAAAATGATAAAGGGGATATCACCACAGATTACACAGAAATACAAACCATTATCAGAGGTTACTACAAACAACTTGATGCACATAAGCCAGTAAACCTGGAAGAAATGGATAAATTCCTGGACACTTGGACCCTCCCAAGCTTAAACCAGGAAGAAGTCAAAACCCTGAATAGACCAATAGCAAGGGCTGAAGTTGAGGCAGCAAATAATATCCTACCCACCAAAAAAAGCCCAGGTCCAGATGAGTTCACAGCCAAATTCTACCAGATATACAAAGAGGAGCTGGTACCACTCCTTCTCAAACTATTCCAAACAATACAAAAAGAGGTAATACCCCTAATTCATTTAATGAGACCAACATCATCCTGATACCAAAACCCGGCAGAGACTCAACAAGAATAGAAAACTTCAGGCCAATATCCATGATGAACATAGATGCAAATATCTTCAATAAAATACTGGCAAACCAATTGCAACAGCACATCAAAAAGCTTATCCATCATGATCAAGTAGGATTCATCCCAGGGGTGCAAGGCTGGTTCAACATATCCAAATCCATAAACATAATCCACCACATAAATAGAACCAAAGACAAAAACCACATGATTATCTTAATAGATGCAGAGAAGGCCTTTGACAAAATTCAACAGACCTTTATGCCAAAAACTCAATAAACTAGGTATCGATGGAACCTATCACAAAATAATAAAAGCTATTTACAACAAACCCACAGCCAGTATCATTCTAAATGGGCAAAAACTGGAAGCATTCCCTTTGAAATCTGGCACTAGACAAGGATTCCCTCTCTGTCCACTCTTATTCAACATAGTATTGGAAGTTTTAGCCAAAGCAATCAGACAAGAAAAAGAAATAAAGGGTATTTTTTTTTCAAGGTATCCAGTTCAAGACACACCACCAGATGTTAAACATAGAAGCATGATGATATACATGAAGAAAAGTAATCTGACTGGTTTTTTTCCGCAAAACAAAGAAAATTGTGTCCAGGAACTCTACTGATTTGGAGAAGTAGTACCACCAAAGCACCTTGGCTACCCGGATGTCAGCTTCCCCTGCACTGGTAAGATCTTGACACTGTAAGTTGTAGCCTCCTTCCCAAGTGGAGAGAATGAGCTCTGCCAGCATGTATGCGGAGAGAAGTGTGATTCCAAGATTATACAAGGTGAGGATACCCCTGAGAGAAAGAGCAGGTCTGTTCTTCATATACTTGTTACCCAGCCATATTGAGAGCAGATAGATGACAGTAAGAAAAAAGGTAGGAAGGTAAGAGTCCAACATGAACCACCCTCTGACTCGAGAATCTCGCGGTCCAAACATATTGTCCAAAAAAGCATTGATTTCATCATCAAAGGCCTTTAGATGCTCCATGATCCGCAGCGGCTGCGGCGTGGCAACCCGGGCGGGAGGCCTTTTTTTTTTTTTTTTTAGGACAGGAGGAAGTCAAATTATCTCTATTTGCAGACGACATGGTTGTGTATTTAGAAGACCCCATTGTCTCAGCCCAAAGTCTCCTTAAACTGATAAGCAACTTCAGCAAAGTCTCAGGATACAAAATCAATGTGCAGAAATCACAAGCATTTCTATACACCAATAACAGACAAACTGAGAGCCAAATCAAGAACAAACTCCCATTCACAATTGCTACAAGAAGAATAAAATATCTAGGAATATAACAAACAAAGGAAGTAAAAGACCTCTTCAAGGAGAACTACAAACCACTACTCAAGGAAATAATAGAAGACACAAACAGGTTGAAAAATATTCCATGCTCATGGTTAGGAAGAATCAATATTGTGAAAATGGCCATACTACCCAAAGTAATTTACAGATTTAATGCTATCCCCATCAAACTACCAATGACCTTCTTCTCAGAACTGGGGAAAAAAAAAACACTTTAAACTTCATACAGAACCAAAAAAGAGCCAACACAGCCAAGATCATCCTAAGCAAAAGGAACAAAGCTGGCGGCATCATGCTACCAGACTTCAAGCTATATTATAAGGCAACAGTAATCAAAACAGCATGGTACTGGTATCAAAACAGAGACATAGACCAATGGAGCAGAATAGAGGCCTCAGAGGCAATGCCACACATCTACAACCATCTGATCTTTGACAAACCTGACAAAAACAAGCAATGGGGAAAGGATCCCTGTTTAATAAAGGTGGTGGGAAAATTGGCTAGCCATGTACAGAAAGCAGAACCTGGACCCTTTCCTGACACCTCACACTAAAATTAACTCCAGATGGATTAAGGACTTAAACATAAGACCTAACGCCATAAAGACCCTAGAAGAAAACCTAGGCAAAACCATTCAGGACATAGGCATCGGCAAGGACTTCATGACTAAAACACTAAAAGCAATGGCAACAAAAGCCAAAATATACAAATGGGATCTAATTAAACTTCAGAACTTCTGTACAGCAAAAGAAACAATCATTAGAGCCAACCGGCAAGCAACAGAATGGGAAAAATTTTTTGCAATCTACCCATCTGACATGGGGCTAATATCCAGAATCTACAAAAAACTAAAACAGATTTACAAGAAAAAAAACAAACAAACCCATCCAAAAGTGGGCAAAGGATATGAATAGACACTTTTCAAAAGAAGACAACAAACATATGAAAAATGCTCATCATCACTGGTCATTAGAGAAATGCACATCAAAACCACATTGATATACCATCTCATGCCAGTTAGAATGGCGATCATTAAACAATCTGGAGACAACAGATGTTGAAGCGAATGTAGAGAAGCGGGATCACTTTTACACTGTTGGTGGGAGTGTAAATTAGTTCACCCATTGTGAAAGACAGTGTGGCGATTCCCTAAGGATCTAAAAATAGAAATTGCATTTGACCCAGCAATCCCATTACTGAATATATACCCAAAGGACTATAAATCATTCTACTATAAAGACACATGAACATGCATGTTCATTGTGGCACTGTTTACAATAGCAAAGACCTGGAACCAACCCAAATGTCCATCAACGATAGACTGGACAAAGAAAATGTGGCACATATACACCATGGAATACTATGCAGCCATAAAAATGATGACTTTGTGTCCTTTGTAGGGACATGGATGAACTTGGAAACCATCATTCTCAGCAAACTGACACAAGAACAGAAAATGAAACACTGCATGTTCTCACTCATAGGCAGGTGTTGAACAATGAGTACATGTGGACACAAAGAGGGGAGCAGCACACACTGGGGTCCATTGTAGGGGGCTACGAGAGGGCTAGTGGGAGGGAGAGTGGGGGAGGAACAACATGGAGAGAAATGTCAGGTGTAGGTGATGGGACGGTGGCAACAAACCACCTTGCCATGAATGTACCTATGCAACAATCTTGCATAATCTGCACATGTACCCCAGAATCTAAAGTACAAGAAAAAAATTATTTGACCGTATATAGAAAGGTTTATTTTTGAATTTTTTATTTTATTTCATTAGTCTATATGCCTGTGCTTTTGTCAATACCACACTTTTTGGATTCTTGTTGTTTTGTAATAAGGTTTGAAGTCAGGAAATGTGAGTCATCCAATTCTGTTTTTTTTTTTGTTTGTTTTTTTGGTTTTTGTTTGTTTGTTTGTTTGTTTTGTTGTTTTTTTTTAATGTTTTAGATATCCAGCATTCCTTGAAATTCCATGTAAGTTTTAGGATAGATTTTTCTATTTCTGCTCTCAAAAAAAAGTCATTGGAATTTTGATAGTGATTAATTGAACCTATGAAATTGTTTTCAGTCATATTGTCATAGTAACAAGAAATACTACTTCTTCCAATCCAGTGATGTTTATTTCCTTTTTATAATTTTTTATCTTTTCTCAATACTTTTATTTTTTTCCATATTATCATTCTCCTTATATAGTTTAACTCTTTGTGTTTTTCTTTATCCCACTGAGGATATTTGAAATACTCATTTTAATGTATTTGTCTGATAAATCCAATGCCTATCCTTCTTCTGGGATGTTTTTGACATTTTATCTTTTTCCTTTCAATAAGCCATATTTTTCTATTTCTTTTATGCAGTGTAAACTTTTGTACTAATAAGTTAGCATTTGAGAAAAAGTCATCTTTCTCAGTCTTTGCAGACTGGCTCTGTGCCAAAGCAGTCCTTCACTAATTAGTTGAGTGTATTATGGGTCTTGCAATAATCCTGAGGTGAAAACTTAAGGTCTTCTCAGGTATTTTCTAAGCATGCATTCTTCCTGGGCCTATGTGTGGCTTTTTTGAGTCTCACATACACATAGTTGCTTTTCAATGTCTTAATTTTCCAAGTCTTACCCTATTTTCTTTTCAAGGCCTTAGATGGTCTACTCTATTAGATGTTTTCACCAATAATTATTTGCCCCAGGTGTCTTCACATTTATAGTCTATCTACACATTTCCCAAGCTATGCCTGCTGCTTTTCACACCTGAGATCTGAGATAGACGAAACAGAAACTGGTCCTTCATGCAGGCCCTAGAGCTGTTAAAAGTTCACATATAAGGTCTGATAAACTACTTTCAGTCAAAAGATGGAACTGAGAGTTGGGCTTCCATCTCCTCCAAACCAAGACTGTGCTGTACCTGAGATGGGGTGGGACAAATGAGGTAAAAATGCCCCAAAATATCTTACAATTTTGAATATGGCTTTTTTTTAATTGGGCATTTTCTTGGTTGCTGTAGCTCTTTGGCTATTTTCCAACAATCCTATAAGTTTATTTTTGTCAGTTTCTTATTGTTTCCTGATGTTTTTGTGGCAGAACAAGAGCCTAGAGCTTCTTAGTCTGCCATTTGTTGACATTACTCTTCACAATGTTTTAAATTTCTTAACATTCCTTTCACCTTCTTGGTCTAACCAAAACCTACATATCCAATGGGGATACTACTTTCCCTGAAGTTCTTTCAAATGTTGATTATTTTCACTTTCACATCCACGTAACCTAGAGCCTGAGGTAAAATAGACATCTTTCTTGTTCTACATTGCTGCTTCAAAAGAATTTCTCCTTTTTCCTTTGAAGATGGATGGAGTTTATGCTAACAACTATGCCATCTGCTGCATTTCATTGTCATTGTTTAGTACTAAAATGCTGTTTACATCTCCTCATTCATTTCCATCTTTAGCACCTGGTTCAATGTCTTCCTCCCTCTCCATCATGAATACTATTAGCATTATTGATAACTACAGCATGCATTTAGATAATATATACAAAAATCCTTGCTTTTCAGAGTTGATGTATATTTCCTTTAATTATTTCTTCCTCCTATCCGCGTCAACCATTAACCCCCATTGTTACATTCCACCCATCAACAATCATTGCCTTGCCACCAAAAAATTAAATTTAAGCATTCTACTCTAACCCCAATTTCCTTACTATTTTGTTCAATTACTTAATTACCCCATACCATTAATTCTTCAAATTCATTTAAGCCTCTACTCTATGTACCTTACCACTTTTTTCACTGTACAGCACTCCTTATGTCTGTTCATCCCTACTCATTCAGCTTAAATTCATTGACATCTCTATACTTTCTCTTTTGTTAGTATTCTTAAGACCCATGTGACACCTGGATAAAATAGGACAAGTCTCATTCAGACTACACATAAAGCATATACTGAGATTTCTCATACTGTCAGCATCAAAGCAACTGGCAATGCGTGAGACTAATAACACTGGCAATTTTATTAATTAGGATCTCTAGTGTTTTCTTTTGTTGCCTTGAGTCTTGGTTTAAAAAGATCACATATAAGTTCACCTAAGATACAGCAGAAAAAAAAATAAATTTTAAAAATAAGAGAGGAGGCTTTCAGTGATCTACTTTGTGAAAGAGGAAAAGACAGGGGCAGAACAGTCAAAGCATCGAAGCAAATAATTTAAAAGAATTTCTCCACAAACAAAATTCACTGGTGTAATTGAGAGAGCAAAGGGACATTTTTAGTTTACTTCATTTGGTTTTGTCAAAGCAGTTCTGTAATCTGCAAAAAGTGGAAAAGTTTGGTGTCTGCTTCCTTTCCCTCAATTCCTTCAGTTATTATTGCCTCATTATACAGTCATTTGTACAATGTTTGGCAGACATTTGCTGCTGCATAAATTAAAGTCATGGAATCTCGTTTTGCCTACAGGTCTTTATGAAAATAGCAGCAACATTTTTATTTGAATGTCAAAGTTTGTCAACCATTAAACTGATTGATTTTTCATTATACAATCCAATAGAATAGGCAATCTTCAGTTTGTATGCAACATTACTCTGAGAAAAAGACTCATCTTTGAAAAATCCTTCATGCTTATACTTTAAAAATGATATTCCTTTCACAAGACAGCCTCATGTTTTAAAGCTATCTTTATACATGAATTGCTCTATTCATATGCCTAGTACAGGTATAGCATGGTAATTCACCTCACTGGAAAGAA